AGAGAGAGAGAGAGAGAGAGAGAGAGAGAGAGAGAGAGAGAGAGAGAAAGTTGCAATCAAATGAACGCTTCCGGTCTCTGAAATGTCTCCAATCCAGAAGGATGAGACTTATTTCTGAAATTCCGAGAAGGACTGAAGACGGATAGAGGGAGAGAGAGATTGCAGAAAGCGAAACAAAAAGACAGGAGCGCTGGGGTGAAGGTGACGGGTGGGCTGAGAGGGCTCTTTCTATGCTAGACAAGAGCGGGGATTTTGTCCAAGTTCTAGGGTCTGCCCCTGGAAATGCACAAGGCTAGCCTGGGGCTGATCTCTGCCTGCACCGCTCGCCTCCCGCAGCTCCCATCACCGCCACCACTTATAAAACAATACCGGCAACAGGACACGGGCTCCTCCAACAGCAGCCCAGATAAAGTTGGCCGGGTCCCGTGGATCGCAGCCCCCTCCCTCCCGGAAGGGGGGTGACAGCGCCCCCCGCAGCCTCCCCCGCAGCCGGGCCCAGCCCCCTCCTGGGACTTGAGCAAACTCCCGCGCCCCCTCCCTGGGGCTGCGCGGCTCTCCAGCTGGAGCAGGGCGCCTTGGAGGGCTGCCCGCCACCGGCACCTCCACAGCGGGACGCGCCACAAAGTTAAAACGCTGCGGTTCACGCACCTTACCGGGTCTGGTTAATCGCTCCTCTGACGCGGGATGCGCAGCAGCGGGCGGGGGCCTCGGAGGACCCTGGAGACGGGATAGGGCGGCTCGCCTTTGCACTCTGTGTATATCTGTGTCGGGGTGTGTTTGTGTGGGGTGTGCGCGCGCGTGTGTGTGTGTGTGCGCGCCTGTCCCTCTCTCTCTCTTTCTCTCTCTCTCTCTCTCTCTCTTCCACCCCCCCACCCACCCCAACCTCTGGCTCCCTCTCTCGCTCTCTCTTGCTCTCTCTCTCTCTCTCTCAAGGACGAAGTAAAATCCCTCAGCTGGTCATGAGGCGGCTTCCGAGACAACACAATGCTGGTGGAAATAAATAACAAAAGGCGAAAAAGACAAGTGGGAACAATGGGGGAGGCGAGGGCAGCGCTCCAGCCGCCGGTGACTGTGGCCGGCGCGCGCCCCGGGGTGCGTCGGAGTGGGGGCAGCGCGGGGCGGGCGCCGGGATCGTTGCAGGTCGTCCCCCCCACCCGAACCCAGGGTCCACCCTGACCTCCTGCCTGCGGCCGCGCGCGGCATCCGAAGCCAGGGAGCCCCCTCTCACGATCCTCCCGCTCTGCTGCAACCCAACTGGCTTGTAAATAACGCACTGATCGCCCACACCGTGCAGGAATTTTTTTCCCCTTTAATCTGCCCTCTGCTTAAAGGAGCGATCAGACGAAATGGCAGGAGTGGAAGGAGGAGGGTTAGGAGGAGGGAGCTCGCTTCTATCCCTGCGCGATCACGTCTGGTCAAGTCCCCTTTGTCAACTTCTTCGCCCTGCTCGCCCCCACCCTGTCCCTCCTGTGCCCACCCCCCATGAGCAAACAGGCTTGCACCCTATGGCGCGGGGATGCGTGTGGGGGTCTGAGGTGAACCTTCTAGGTGGTCAGCAGACCCTGGCTGGAGCGCCACTGGAAGGTTCAGGTTTTAAAGCCACTACTACCTTTCCAGAGGTGGGCTCTACACCGAGTCCCCGCTGCTTTCTGCTTGCGCTCCGCACCTACCTATCCCTTGGGGTAGAGGGGTGAGGGAAAAGTTTAGAAGCTCTTATCTATGCCTCAGGGGTGGCTGAAGTGCTTTGATTCTGAGTGTATTCAGCCAAGAAAAAAAATATATCACCCGATGCTCAAGAACCGAGGGTTGATATTGAGGGCGAGATGAGGCAAGGCACTGAGTTCCAGAGCTGCACCACTCAGGAGCGCGAGTTACATCACCACCAGCAGAAACTCGGTGGGTGAACCGCCCGGACAGAACCTTTCTGGCCTGATGGAAGGTGTTCGCTGACAGCTCCCACACGGCTGCTCTTGGCTCTGCTCTTCTTCTCCTCGCTTTCACTGACTTAAAACGGCTGCGCGGGGGGTGAGGGTGGGGGCGCTGGAGAGGGGATCCCCAAGTAATCTCTAGCCAGGTTTGGGCAGAGATAAGGACTTCTGTAGGGACCCAATGGAGCTGGTGTTCAGGTAGCCAGGGCTGGACAGGGGTGATGGCAAAGGGGACCCAATAGAAACAATTCGAGAAATACATTTCGTTCTCTTTTCTTTTTCTCGTGTCCCTTTCTCTTCTTCGGCTTTCATGGGCTTGTGTGTTCTCCCTCTCTACGTCTGTGATTCCCTTGGAAGGAACATTCATGACCTGCACCTTGTCCCCAAGCACCGCCAGCGTTTCCCAGAGTGCACCAAGGCTACCTGGAAATCAATGACCCTGCTGTTTGTTCTCCCTGGGCCTGCAGGAGCAGAGCCCTCGCAGCAGCGGCTTGGGCATCAGGCTCAGGACCTATCAGTCAGAGGCCACCAATCTCCCCTGATTTATTCCCTGGCTCTAGTTTTACAGGGGAATTGTTAGGAAGCAAGATGGTGTCTAGATGCCTACGACACTCACAGCCCTAAAAAGCACATTTCCTTTCTGCCCCTTCTACCCCTGGCAGGTGGGTGGGTTGCTGATACCTGGGATTTTTGCACTTGTCTAGAGTGGAAAGTTTCAGGGGAGGAGACGTTTAGACAATTGATTACTTCGTACCTGCTTTCTAAAAATGGCTAAACACCTTTCCCTTGGTAGAAAAGTGAGAAATGCAAATCTTAATAACTCTGAGGCAGAAATTTCAAAGTGTAAACACAGCCATTATCCACTCCCACAAAAATAAAGCATCCCCTTCAACAAATATTTGATAGCACAGAGCCCAGTAATTAAGGGAACAATCCAATAAGCCCAGAGCTTTCATGGGGGGGGGGGCTCTGAATTTCCTATGCAGAGAATTTATACACGGGGTGATCATTTGCCACTCCGGTACAGCTCTGGATACAGCTGTCTCGCCATGCACCCTTAAACACCCTTACTGTTTAATCAGAGAACTTAAATAATAACAATCACAATAATAAAAATATGAAACCCTTGGATTGAGGTGGCTTCCCAACACTGAAAAAAAGTCTGTGTTTGAATAAAACACCTTCCATATGTGTCTGTTTTCTCCGCAGGCTCTCTGTCCTCCTGTCAGTCATTTGCAGGCGCCATCTATGAGCTCAGTGATAACTACCCTCTAGCTTCAGTCAAAGTGCTGCTTTTGGTCTGAGGAGTGCTCCAGCTGGAGAAGATGGCTCGGCCATTAAGAGTGTGCACTGCCCTTGCAAGAAGGAGGACCTGAGTTCGGTTCCTAGCAGCCACATCAGGCAGCTGGTGCCTGACTCCAGCTGCAGTGAATATGACACCTCTGGGCAACTGCACTCATGTGCACAAACAGACACACAGACACACACAGTCATATTAAAAATAAATCTTAGAAAACAAGTAGCTCTTGCTGGGTGTAGGGCATTCTATTCTTTTATCACACAGTCTTTCAAAAATGGCTATTACTGGGTCAAGCCTAGTTCCTCCAAACAAGTAGCAAAAGGCAAATTAAGATCCATTGCAAAATAGTAGGCCCTCATACCAATCAGAATATGTGTAACCTTTGTAAAAGGATTGTCACAATATATTAGTTTCCACAGGGATTTAAGCTTTCTAGAACATATTACATGAAGAAAGGAGGTCGAAGCAGATTCTCTCCCCATGGGTCTCTCTGATGGTGTCAAAGAAGCAGAGAAGGCCAGGGCTTTAGTTCTGGTTTGTCAGTATTACAGCTCTGGGCCAAGATGTCCTACAGACAGAGGACCCAGGCTGCTAGAGAGAGAAGACCGCAAGCTCCCGGTCTCTCCCAGTTGGTTATTGAAACCACATGCCCTCCAGACTACGCCTTGATTATTATATAGGAACAGCAGAGTTGACTGAAAACTTCCAATGGGATGTTTGTTTGTGTTAAGCTTGGGAAAACACACACCACACAAACCAGACACACCACACACACACACACACACACACACACACACTGAAAGTGGTGGCGCTATCGATTTTCCATTTATCAAGCATGTAGTACAGCCTGCATTCTCAGCCAAGAGTTTCTTGAATGTGTTCTTCTCTCTCCTTCACATGACAGACTTGCAAGAAGTGTGACACCCCTGCTCTGCAGAGAAGGGAAGGGAAGCTTGGCGAGGCTGGGGGCGTGTCCAGGGGCATGCTGGGAAGTAGCTTGGCGAGCCTGGGGGCGTGTCCAGGGCCATGCTATGTGGTAATGACTAGATGTACATCAGCCTTGGCCAGCTGCAAACCAGTCCATTCCGCTTCACCTTGGCTCCTCCTGTGGCATGGCGGTGCCAGTTTGTAGTGGTATTAGCCCATCGTATATGGACCTTAAAATGACAGACTAAGGCTGGGCGTATAGCTCATTGGTAGTGCACTTGTCTACCATGTACAAAACTCTGGCCTCTGTTCCTAACACTGCAACAACAAAGTAAAATACAAAATTTATAGGATATAAATTCCAGACATGAGTTATGCTGGTAATCTCATTCACCTTGGACTTTGGATAACTGTGTAATTCCCAAGAAACTACATGTGTACCATAAGTGGGGGTAAATATATAAGTATACTATTTTTTGGAGTTTTAAGCAATAGATATGAAGTTATTTTGTAGACTGGGTAATTCTATATTACATGTACACATGCTTACCCGTGTAATTAACATATAAACATATTTACATATATTACATATTCATAGACTTGAACAGGTTCTGCCCTTTACATATGCAAGCTCATGGAGTCAGTCAGATGTGGTCAAGCATACCTGTCACCCTCATAATTGAGAGGCTGAGATGGAAAAATCACAAGTTTAAAAAACTATCCTGGGCTATGTTACAAGTTCCAACATATCAGTACTCCATAACAACACTGTCTCGGAAGGAATAAATAAGTAAATAAATCCTCACAGTGAGCTCATGAGTTACATAATTTTATTCTATCATTTCATCAACACAATAGAAAACACGGAGAATTATGTAAGTGCCAGAAGATGGGGCAAAAAGGGATAGAGTGTGGGTTCAAATCAAACAATGAGTGACTTTCTCATACTGCCTTTCAATGTGCATATAGGCATATATATATATATATATATATATATATATATATATATATATATACATATACATATATACACATATATACATATATACATATACATATGCACATATACATGTATATACATGCATATGCATATATACCTATATATATGTATATGCATATATACATCATATATACATATATACATATATTTATGCAGACAGTAGCCACATGTATACAGTATATATACACATATATTTATGCAGACAATATACCTACAGATATTCATGGACAGACATAAACTACACATACCTAGAAATCATACCAATGGCAATCGGAAATATTTATGGATGGATGGGAAATTCTCTATGCTTAAGGTATTCAAGATAGATTGTTGAGGCCACCTGAGTTCCTCGAGTATATCTGGAGATATTGACAAAGTGCTATTAAAATTAGTTATTGGTATGTAGTATTAGTTACTGCCCTATGTGCACAAGGTCCATTGGAGGATTTGTACAGTTACAGGTGTTAAAGTCGCAGAGAAAAGGCACTTGGGAGTCTAACAATGAAAAGGGAGGAATAAAGTCACCATTCATTTCCATTACTACAACAGAGTATCAGACTCAGGGTAGTTTATAAAGAGGTTTATTTATCTCCCTGTTTGGGAACCACAAGCTCAAAATAGATGGCTGCCTCTTCTATAAGAAGAACATCATCAAAATGGGGAGTGGGTAAACCAGAGACACTCAGCGGGGGACACAACCCACCCCACCCCATAGGACTCTGTTCACCAGGGCCACACCCCGCACCAAGGTACCTTCCATTCCCTTTGCCAACCCAGGCAGATCACCCAAACTCTGCCTTGGGAAGTTCAGCATCAACTCAGCTCTGGGAGAGACAGCCAGTCAGTCCACAGCAAAGCATGGTACACTCTGAGAAGCTATCAGTGGGGGAAGCTAGAGAGCAAATGCAGCCCCTTCCCAGTGAAGGGTTCTCTGTCTCAATGTTTTAAATTAGGATAGGGTTCCAATCTCCTCCCAGTAGCAGGAGGATATTAAATGTTGATCTAACTTCAGCAATTATGGACTCACAACCCTGACATCCCTTCAAAGAAACCTGAAAACATTTGATAAGAATGTGAGATAGAGGAAGAATTTGTCCTGGGGCTATTTTTATCTCTCTCCAGAAATGAGGTAAAAGTCAATTTGGGGCTGTCAACTCCAAAATCAACCTACTTTATAAAAGTGAAGTTTTTCTTTTTCTCTCTTCTCCCTAAATATGACATCTGGTGTCACCTAAGGAAGGAGTGGTAACTACAGACAGCTTCCAGGATGCTTCACAAGCTCCCAGCAGATTTCCAGATCTCCCAGCATGCCCCACGATCTCCCAGCATGCTTTATAACCTCCCAGCAAGCCTTGTCCCAACTTCTGCCATCCTGAGTATTATCTATCCCTGTCTTAATGAGCCCCGTAAGGAAAATTGAAAAAAAGTTGCCTGTTTTCCCACCAGTTGGGAGGCTGAGACAGGAGGACTGCTGTGAATTCAAGGCCAGTTTGGATTAATTCAGGCTAGTTTGAGTTACAGTATAAGATCCTGCACCCACACATATGCCCTGCCCAAGGCGAGATAGCTAAACAGGTAAAAGTGTGATATAGGCATGAGTTTGGCAAAAAAGGAGAACCATCTCTGCTCTCTCAAACGCTCCTCTGTCCAGACACTCACCATAAACACACATCCTGCACACAACAGTAATAATAAAATCCCAATAAGAGTACTGAGCACAGTGGTGCACGCTAGGCATTCCACAACTCAGAAGACTAATGCAGGATGGTTGCCATTCAAGACCAGCCTATATTCTGAGTTCTGGACTACCCTGGGCTATAGAGTGAGTGCCTTAAAGTAAATAAAAACAAATCTACAACCCTATGCCTAAGAAATGCCACACACTAAGCTCTCATTGAAAAAAAAACACACACACACAGACACGAAACTTTTGAAAGCCCATTACAGATACATATGTTTTCATTTAGAAACTACTATGAAATTGAGTGTTCTTTCATTTAAATGTTCCCCTGTGGTTCCACAAATTAAAGATCGGTAGTGCGGTATTAACAACCAAGAGCCGGACCAGACTGAATTGCTTAAAGACTGTCGGCTGAGCCACCGAGCACGGTTTCTATAGCTGAAGCTGACCAAAAAGGGAGGTCACTTAAACATAAAAAAAAAAAAAAAAATCCTTTTAAAAACGTATCCACTTGGATATGTATTTTAGAAAGAACTTTTTTTTTTATGTCAGACCCAGTTTTAAAAAAGGAAATAATGTAGAAAGCCCAGATACTTTATAAACTCCAAACCACAACCACGCTGCTCTCATTAGCGAAAGGGATTTATTACATTCACTGTTGATTTTTTTCCTTCCTGGGACAAGAACCAGAGGGAATAACAAAATTAGTTCTAGTCAAATGCGACAGCCTGCTCTCAACACACCCTCACATCTTGTCTCTTAACCTACGGGCTGCTTCCAGTCATTCATTCACTCATTCACTCAGTTTGACTTTTCACATCTCGTTGTGAATAAGGAGGATACAATGTGGCAGTGTGGGAGGGGTGGGCCCTAGATGTTAAAGTTGTTCTTGCGAGCAGGGAATGGAGAGGAGTGTCATGAACTGCTGTCTGCTGGCCTGATGTGGCCATTACAGCCATGAATTTATAGCAGCTCTGGTTACCTGCCAAGCTGAAGCACTGACGACATAGAGGGTCCCGGGGCTCCAGCCCTACAGAGGAGAGAACTGTAACGGAGGCTCCTGTGGAGGAAGATGTGTTCCTTTTTTAAGGATGTGGCCTGTGTAAGATTCTACTGTGGATGCCCCACACCAGCTAGGAAAAGGATTAAAGACACGAAGTTGGCAGGGGAAACATGAAAGAGCTGAGAGTCGGAAAGGAGTCTACATGGTCAGATTTCACTGGACACAGGAGTGAACTTTTTAGGAATAAAGAGAAAATATTGAATCCTCTTTCTTAATATACAATTTGCCCCCACACTCAGCCCTCTTAATATGTCCTGTGTTCTCTACTGTTACAGCATTTTTCCCTATAAATAAGTGTGTTGATTTTAGTTATGAGCAAAGAAGAAACAATTGGTGTTTGAGAATTTTACAGGCACACACACATAATCCCAGCACGAAGAAGTCTGATGCAAACGGATCAGGACTTTCAAGTCAATAAAGGTCAATATATATATATATATATATATATATATATATATATATATCCTGTCAATCAAGGTATATATATATATGCAGACATGTGTATGGAGGTAGATCTTAGAGGTCAACTTTCAGGAATTGGTTCTCCCTTC